ACCAAACACATGATGTAATACAAAAGTGTAGGTATTTATTCAAAATATACTCATTGTCAATCAGCTTATTCACTAACACATGAGTACATACCTAAATGGCATATTTTATTCTACTATATATATGTAATATTATTTACAAAAAAAATGTAAGCGACATGTCAATTTGACAAGCAATTGTTTTCATGGTTTGTTGCTGCATTTTTGTGAATACATAGCAAATAGTATAGAGATAAGGTGTGAACGTTTGATTGAAAAAAGTAAATTATTTGGTTAAACCATGAACTTGCATTGGCTAAAATGATCGAGATACATGTTGATATTGTCACATCTGCATCTACTTTTATATTAGTACTAGCTGACTGAAACCAATACTTGAAACATGGTTTGTTTCATCAAATAGAGTGGTCTTAAGAATTAAAAAAGATTTTGATCAAAAACGTTTTTTAAAAGTGTTTCTCAAGATTTCAATTTTCCTTAAACTGTTTGATTACAGTAAACCTAAATAGCATTGTTAAAGTTTGTGGAATTTTTTATAACAGTATTTAAGCCCATTGACAAAAATGAGCTAAGTGACGTCAATAATGGTCATTGCTAAAAAGATTCAGTAGTCTTCTGAAATAATTTCCAGGCCCTTTATATGAATTTACATTATGTAGTCATCAGAAAACTTAATCAAGTGTGACGTTTATCCGAAGTAATCTCATTTCATGCCTTAATCAATAGATAATGACTAACAGTAATTAGAAACAATATAATCATAAGCAATATCTATTTTAAAGTTGTTCTGATATACGGTAAGTGAAATTTTACTATGTTTAATATCCAATAATTTTAATCAGATTATTTTCTTTTTAACAAAAGTTAATGTTTAGTTTATTAAAATTCCGTTAAAGTACCTTTTTTGTTGGAATATCACTTCATCATGACTCAGTGATCTTATCTTTTAAACTAAGCTTTTGTTCTATGAATGTGGGAAGCCACTGTTGAACAAGAGACAAACTGTATAGTACGAAAGTACATAGATGAATTGATTATATAAACTTATAATATGAAGAGTTGACAAATGAATCCAAGTTTTAGTTAATATATTTGTTGTGTAAGTTTTGATGGTGATTTACTTACAACCATGAATATATTTTAATACTTTTTTGCGAACTCCAGAAATTTCATTATATCTCTAAGACTAGAATAATGTTCTCTGGTGGGTTGTTGTCTAGTAAAAAGTCTACACGAATTCAAAACGTCTAGTTAGATTTTGCCAGATTGCATCTTTTGCAGAGTAGGTGATATGTTCGACCACTAGTAAAATGATGAATATACTAAGCAGCAGTTCACTCTGTTGTACATTATAACTGTGAAAGATATTTCTCAAAATAGAGTATAGTTGTAGGGTACTGGTTTTTAAACATAAATGCCTTTGAAGCATTTTCTGTGTATTCTGAGATTAATGAGTGAGCGGTGATGAGGCTAGACATAAAGCATTAAGTAAGAATGACAAATCAATCAATTAGATAGTGAACCTTGGTTGAATGAGGTGATTGAGACATGTATTACGTGTACTCGACAACCGCCAACATCGACGAACGATGATGGATGATGTGATAGTGTATTGAAACACTAGAAGTGCTTAAATCAAGAAGTAGCATCGGTCACTGACTTTTGGACTACGTCGTGTAAGTAAATGAAAACTGCCTGGTTAAAAACGACGTGACTGTTGTAACGAGTGTTTGAGATATTGGGTGACATCGATCAGAACCATCATATACTGCAGAACATGATCATTTACTCTTTGCTTTACCTTAGATCCTAAACTTCTTAATTATCTTAGGAAATATTTTATAAAAATACATATTTTCTTTAAGAGTCAAACATTCTGTCTCCAATTTTTTCAACCACTATCACACTCAATAACAATAGGGTCATACAATTGATTTCAATGGCACAAAGATCCTTCAGAAATGTTTTAACTCTCATAGAGAAAGACTAGCAGTTGAAGCTCTACACATATGGGCAAATCCAAACAGTATTAATAAGAGAGATGGCAACGAATAATTAATAAGTAAACCTGAACTCCTTATTCCTTTTTTATCTATCTCTTATTATCTGAATAACAACAATTACATTGAACGGTTCGAATCAGTTGTCTTATCTGAATATGTTAAACAATTAACTGGAACAATAAAAATAACACAGACATACATTTACAAATACATTCTTTCTCTTTGAATTCATTCCTTTATTTTGTTAACTTAGCTTCATTTGATTAATATCATATATAAAAATTGCGTTTTCCTAAGAATTCACCGACCAGAGGCAATATATAGTGAATGAAATTTCTTCGCACACCACTTAAGTATATATAAAATCTGCTGTCTTAACACCTTTCGTTTCACACCACAAGTCTCTTGAACCCTAAAGCAAATACCTACTTTAAGTATTGTTAACGTTGATTGGATGACCTATTTAATATACTGTGAACCGAAGAACTATGTACCTATTTATATTCAATAATTTTGATATTTGACTACATTTGTTTGAAAAAGCTTGAATCATTTACTAAGCAAAATGTTGAATTTACTTCAAATTTATTCACTCGAATTCTACAAATACGTTCTTTCTCATTAATCTAAAAATTAATATTGTTATTACCTATACTGTACTGATATTTCGCTTGCTAATGTGGTGTGGTAACTTGAATTAATGCATATATGTTCCAAATACTGTGATGCGTAAGACTGGTTGACTTTAGAACCGTTGAAACAAGCTCAGAAAAACTGGAAACAATAAATCGTTCGACGGCGTGCTGTTTTACGATAGCAAATAAAACAAGTATAAAAAAGTAAACCCATAATTAGTTTTCTACGGATTAAACAAAATTTCAAAACAAGGTATGGTGTTATAATAGACTTTAGCAGACGTTCCACAAATTTTATTTAATAAAACTGTTGTCAAAAAATGGCGCTTAAAACCTGTTTAGTGATACATTTACACTTCATCAATCTAAAACAGTGCAACTGCTCAAATAATTAAGTTACAAAGAAAATGGTTATGACAGTACGTTTTAAAGATTAGAACGAGTATTTGAGCGATATTTCAGTTGTTACGGTTGGAAAGAATGATGCAGAAATTTAATATCACATTTTCTTCACAAGACTTATTAATGTTATTATGATGTTCAAAAACCAATCATTGGTTATCGAAACATGAGCTAAATAACTTAGAATTAGAACCTTACTGTGATGAACATGATTAAAATTTATCAGAAAATAAAACTTTTGCATTATCACGTTTCAAAAACTGGCCTTAAAAGTTGTGCATATTAATGTCCTTCCGAACGGTAGAAAATAGTAATTAAATGCATATTTTTGTTGTAAAACGGTTTTCACCTAAGCTGCCAAACTCTACATATATTTAATAAGAAGAAGTCAACAAGTCGTAAAACAGAAATGTAAAAACAATTGTTTTAGCAGCACTGAGAAATTAAATGGAATAAAATCTCAAAATGGATTAAACTGGTTAATAAAAATTTAGTGATAGTATTGTGTCCAACGTAAAAACTTTCATAAATGATGGGAGCGCCTGAGTCAATACAAACTAATTTAAACCATATGATAGAATCTAAAATGATTTATTATGGTTATCTCCTAGACCGTGTAACAGAATTAGAGGATGCAGATCAACACTCGTTGACTTTACTTACTGAAATTATTTCTAACCTTTATTGTGCTAGCCGCCATGTTACATAGAACAGATCATGAATGAGCTCATGTTGAAGTTTCACATTTACACTGTTGAATGCCAGCCCAGTGTTCTAGAGTTTAGGCGCTCGCGAGAAAGCTCAAAGATCCTGGGTTTGAATCCCGCGTGTGAGATTGTAGATGCACACTGCTGAGCCGTCGCATACTGGAATCAGACTTCATTCAGTGCTTCCAGATTTTTTACAGTAGTATAGCTTTAATTGGCTCGTGAACTCAACTATTAAATATCTAACTCACATTAGCCAGTCAAGATTGACAACTACCTTAGCCAATGCCCCAACTTTGTATAAACACGATAACAGTCAAATTAAACAGGTGGTTATACAACGCAAAAGCAACTCTTCAATTTTATATTCGTTACTTATCCACATTTTCTCTCACAACCGCATTTTACGGTAGAAAGTAACCCAATACATGCTTTTTGAAGTACTTACATTCTGTGGTATAAAGTAAGTGAACATTCTATTTGAGCTTTTACCCTAATCGCTGGAAACGCTACTGAGACTTAGTTACTTTCTTCAACCACAAACAGTAGAAAACGAGACCTCGGCCTAAAATCTGGTAGTTTTACTTTGATATCTTACTGCTTGACATGGTAAGACCTCGTACGACAATTGCATAAGTCCATACAGTTCTTTCGAGTTGCCAAGTAAAAAGAACGAGAACACCACGTCACGTCGTCAGTCCTAATTGGTGAAAAGAAAATTATTCCCTAATATTCTGCCATGATTATGTCTAAGCTCTTTTTGGCTTCACATGCAACTTCATTAAATGTCTTTGAACTGTTCCAGAAGTCGCAATGCCCATTTACGTGTAGATGTACGACAGAATAAAGTTTTAGTATGAAGTACAAAAATTTATAGATTTTCAACATAGGTCTCAAGAAACAATTATATTGCAGCAGAATAATTGGTACTCAAAGCTCGAGTTCCGAACATAATGCTATTATAATTAAAATATCTACCGAGAGATGAAAAGTCGAAGGACGTCCATGATAATAGAAAACAATATGCTACAAATTCGTCGTAAGACATAAAGTAAGTTTGTGCCTTACAACAGAAGCGCATAATTGCCTTGAAAATCTTCAAAATCCGGATGTTGTAATTAATAACAATCTAATTCAATTGAATTAGTTTATCAACTCGCTAAGAGTACAAAACGTTTTTGCATTTTGAAAATGAGCTTTAAACCGTCAACATTAGTCATTAAACGAGTATATATGGGACTTGAGTATGAACTTACCAATATTAACGCCATTTACTTCTACTACGTAATCACCATCTCTAAGACCAGCCGCAAATGCAGGAGATTGTTGATCGACCTCACTTATATAGTGTCCGACCTTGCCCTTCGTCGCCTGTAGGCTAAATCCATAACCTGAATAATTTTCCCACTTCTGAAGAGTGCATAGTCGTGCATAATACTTTCTAGGCATTTTGAAAACGTCATATAAGGCGCTATTGACACTGACACACACTAAAATTATTCACGATTGTTTAAAACAAAACTTCCTTCTCAAACGGAAAAACTTCACCAGGCGCTCGACTGCGAAGTTTTACCGATAAATAAATAACGTAACTCACGCATGAGGTGTTTTTCAACCATATATAACCAATAACAACTAACATCCAAATATAACACTCCATTCTAGCACTTTGTTTCAAGAGATCCAAATCAATGTGTTGAAAGTATAACCTGAGTACTCACGAATATTTAATGAACACACTGCGCTCGATTTCAGTGGTGTTAGATGCACTTATGATTTCTTATGTCATGTTTCGCAGTACGGCATATAAGGTTACATTGAAAATTACGACGACATTCATCAAAGCTGAAAACCAATATGACAAACTTATTATATTTACGCACCGCAAAAATGATCTGCCTTTAGTGGTAACCTACACTTTGAGCTATAGTGGATTCTACCATATTATAAGACAACTAGTTTTCAAGATTTTGGATTCTTTAGTGCTTTGTAATTTAATTTGACCTTTGCTGCTGGTAGTTGTCCCTAGGTTTACATTGATAAAAATATTCATTCAGGTCTTGAGACAAAATAGTTGTAGAACTAGGTTTTACTGTATGTTCATTAATTTTTCAAAATTCACCGTAGTACAACAAGAAAATACAGTCCTTATTAAGGTAGTAAATAAATGCTTGTATTATGATTTTTCGACTTTATCAAGAGAAATTTGTTAGTGCTGAAACACCCAATCGAACTTGTCTCAGTCTCTTTATCTTTATCATCAATGAGGTGCTGTGCAGACCTTCAAAAAAGTTAATAAATGCTCGACTTACGACCTCATTGAGCTGCTTTATTAAGAAGACTTCTTCACAGACTTTTTCAAAGAAACTACACATCACAAGATAGGTAGTGCAGTACTTCCCAGTTATTCAGAAGTTAACAGTAGATCGCTTTTTACGTTCATCTGGTTAACACTATTTCCTTGGAAGGTAGACATTCAAAGGAACGAAGCAAGCGGAACAACCTTATTTTTGTAGCCTGAAAAGAAATATCGATGTCACTGGCCCTAAGACGAACTAATAGTCAGGTATATAAGCTCACATTGCTATTGTTCATTATTGTACGTTTATTACTAAATATGACTCCTGAATCTTCATATCTGAAACCACAAAGAGAGTCATTTTTTCAATTTGTGCTCATACAAACCTCTGGAATAAACGGTCTGAATTATGGCACATCTGCTGGAACTTATTAATTATCACAGATTTAGCTATTTGACCAGACTCCTCAAATCTATTTGTTTCATTTTACAGAAAGAACTGTATGAATAGCTATATCTCTCACATAATTCAATGGTATTAAAAGTCCATTTACTTTTGTTCGTTGATTATTAACACTGAGGAAGCCATTCATTTACTTTTTAACCCAACAGCTTATTTCTGAAATTTCCATTCCTAATCTAAGACACAGGTTAAGCATCTTATTGAAGACTTTATTGAGATCTATGGAAGCTGCAACTTCTGAAATATTTTCATTTTCCTATGCAGTTGCATCTTTGCCTGGCGTGAGGGGACTAGTCATATGTAGAAGGCCGTTCCCATGTTCCTAAGAGATTTACGCATGTGTCATGCATCTCCTTGAATAAACAATACTCTTATAAACCAGACACAAATTTTGAGGACCAAACGTTTTGCAATTTTTCACTAAATTTGAAAGCTAGACGTTTCAAACATCGTTGTAATTCACTGGGAATTATGTCAGACACTTAATTGAATAACCACGTCATACGCTACAAAAGATCTGGTGCCCATCCAGTGAAATCAAACGTCAGAAGCGGGGATGTTCATAGACGTATTTGTTAGTCTGTCAAAATATCAAGAAGTGACTGAAATTAACTAGCTAGTTGTTGCAGGAGAAGTTGAGCACGGCGTACTCACTCGTGCCCTGGTGCGGATGCGTGACTGAAAGCCTTCAGCAAATGCGAGTCCATTAAAACCAATGTGGTCAGCATTAAATTTCGAACACCAACAAAGGTATAGACTTGCAAGGTTTATTTACATTTAGGAATCAATTAGATACAAAATGTTATCATTAACATCACATTTTGTTTTTCCCTTTCGAATTTTTAAAAACTAGGCTACAAGAAAACGTGCACTGTACGAACTACTTACGCTTCCCACATATATCTTTGACCATCAAACTGTCAGAAGTTAATGCTTTAGTCAATAACCACTACCATTACTTACCTTCTTTTAAAGTGTAAGTGGATGCTATAAAGCAACTCTATCGTCAATATTTTGTTCTCTTCCATGTATTTTCTCAGACTTCCCAATCAACGAACAAAGGGAAAATAAAGGCGAACAAAGGGGATATTAAGAGGAAAATGCGTTGAAAAATAAAGGGGAAACGCTCTAAAATTTCTGCTTTTTCGCCTGTCCGGGGGAAATAATGCGGACTTCCCCGTTTTTGTCGCTCTGTTGCTCAAATGTCGCCGAATCATCTACTTTTCCTCCAACTTTCAAAGCACTCTTGTCATAACCTCAAAAATCTTCTATGTTCGCCTTTATCTTCACAACGAGCCACACTAAAATTGCAATCCACGGGAAAAGTGGTATATCTTTAAATAAATTTATTGAAAAGGAAAACGTATTATCATACAACATTATAACAGAAGCTTGAGCATCAGTCGTTATGCATTTTCACTGTAATCGCCAATTCATTGTTATTTGAAAAGATCTGAAAAGGAAGAAACAGGTGATGTATTATTAATAAGGCATGTGTATTTAATCGCAAGTTCACTGAAAATCAAACACACTTTCTCAACTTTTAAATAGTTTCCCATGTAAGAAAGTAAGTTCATTTTTCAAAATAACGTTTATTGAAAATATGTAGAACATAAAAAACATTTCACGGATTACTTTCTTTAGCCACGCCTGTTCGGCTATTGAGAATAAAAATAATATTGTGAATTCTGAAATTCAAAGAACGAAAGAAGCTACAAAGATATCTGAATGGCATGCTTTGGCACAGTCAGATACTTGAAGCTTCACTTACGGTTATGCTCGTTAACACTGTGGTCTGTAACTACTGAGCAGTAGGGAAGTTATCACTTTAAACTAGCACATACCTGTTCTTGTTTCTTTCTATTACTCTTTATCAATTAGTCTCTGACGTCGCGATGTCGTACAGTTTCTCAAGGTCTTTTTCGTTGACAGATGATGACAAAAAGCTATTGGTTAATCCATGTGAAGTTTAAATAATAGATATAGGTTACTTCGTATGCAGCCGTAAAACCGGCATTTCTGAAGTGCTCGTTTTGAAGAAGTGCCAAGTAGCGTAAAATTACTGGCAACCTCAGGTGTCATGAGGTACGACAAAAAATATCGCATTGAGGTTTTAGGATCATTATCCATTAACCTCGTTACCATGGCCATCTGTAATACGAACAAATTATAAAATTAATGGTGTTGACTTACAAAATCTGTCTCTGGTTTCTTTCTGCTGCAAACCAGTGTTCAAAATCTGCAGTTCCTCTTCAGATGACAAAGGGAACTGCTGACTTGATAGTCCGCAATCGAATTGATGCGGATGTTTGTGTTCACTGAACTTCGCTAGTAGCCGCTTTACATTTGTACTCAAGTTAGTAATAGCTGACGACATGTTCTGCATCATTGTATATAACCTATCAAATCTGATAAACTTCACTTGATCGTACAGGGGACTTCCCCTATATCAGTGACTAAACCAGGCTGTCCGTTTACTACTACAACATTATCAGGCTTAAATGAAGTTATTTTACTATTCTTAAATATAATTACTTGTTTATCGGAGACCTGCTTAGCGGTTATTGGGACAGTTTTAGTTAAACAGCTAACTCGAAGCCTATCACAGAAGAACGTCTTCTCAACATAACGCCTAGCTGCTTGCTTTGCAACAGCATACCTACTACGCACAGAGTTTTTTAGTTGTCTCATGTAAGACTCGAATGGAAAGGCTGAAAACCTATCTAAAGGTCCATTTGCATGAACGTCTTCAGGAAGGTGCTGTAACAAATGCACATTGTAAATCAAGTTTTCAGACCCATAACACCATTCCTATTCCTTAAAGAACGTTTCCTAAGTCCATTGCAATTGCTACTCTCCAAACTACCTTTACAGGCAAATTACTTCCAAATTAAATCTCAACATACTAGAGGATGAGGATCAAGCATTAACAACTAGTCATTACAAATAAATGGTGTATGAATTTATCTGGAGTCTTCCAATTTGTTTATCCGTATATTTTTCATGGGTGTTTAGTCGATGGATAGACAGGAATCTTCTTCGAAACCGTCTTCAAGTCTCAGGACTGAACTAGATGTTCCCTCGGCAGATACTTGTTCGACTGTTTCCTGTGGATATAACCTGCGGCCATCAGGAAGTGTATCGTCGATTGCCTCATCATTCACTGCAACTAAAAGTGAGTTGGTGACTAAGTAAGTGTGATTTCTGAGGTCGGAAGAGATTTACTGTTTGTTAGAAACTACTTAGTCGGGAGTATAGCTGGAGGTGCTGGCTCTTTATTGGGAATAAGGGAACTAAACAAGATAATTCCAGGTAGTAACATAGATATCCAAGTTGTTACATGGAATATGTTATCCATGAAGTCTCAGGTAACAATTCAAATATTCCGCTAGGCTTACAGAAAAGTTTTATCCGGAAGATTTAAGTGATCTTTTCTTCAGTGGGTCTTCCGAGGAAGCTGCAAGCATTTATGCCATTTGTATACAAGAATGTTCTTCCGATAAGTGAGTTTTTGTATATTAAAAAACTGGATACTTGTTCATATGGTATTTGTTGTATATTGTAATGTCTAGTCTCGGAGTCACTCACCGAATTTCCTTTTTTATCTATCTCAGTGGTGGACTAAATAGTACCTTAATAATAACCCAATTGTACCAGCAATGATTTTGTTTCGCTTTTGTAAATACAGCATTGTTTTCTTCACTCAAGCCCAATTAGCATCGCCTGCTACTTTAAAAGGTGGTAATTAGCCGTGCCTTTTTGTTATTGGTATTGTATTTCGTATGAGATAAAGTGGTGTTCTTGTAACATTCTTAATATCCTTATAAAGTTTTAGCCAACTTTTGAAAACAGATCTTGTTCATGAATTGACCCTTCAGTTAAAAAACTACCATTTTCAAATATATGCTCTTAAAAAAGCAGTATGAACCTCAGTTCAAAATTATTTTTAAATTTTAGAGGATCATCCTGTAAGTTATGTTTGGGGTAATAGTTTAAGAATAAATTGTAAGTGGCCACGATTTTTTATTGATACAGTAATCTAAATTCATAATTGATCCCCTGCCTTTGGTTATACTTTGTGTGAAAAACATTGTGAGGCGAAGGAATGGGTGAGTTACCTCCGAGTAGTTTATACACTATTTATGTCACCTCTTTTTCTTTAGACAGAAAACTAAGCATGTGATGTTCTTTTAAAAGCATCAATAACAAGTACATCGCCTGGGCTTGCTTTTAAAATTCTTTGAAACTTACTGCAGATATTACCTCGCAAAATAACAAGTTAAAGAAATGATACAGGAATAAGAGTAAACAGCTTTATCTACCCACTTGACTGCTTGTTGAAACTGCGTTTACAATAAAATTGTCACAGGAAATTTATACACCATGAATGATCTAAAGGCCACTATGTTTTGCATTACAGTTAAAGGTTAAAAAATATTCATCAACTGGTCCCTCATCTCATGCTTCTTGTTCATTATAATACATTTTATCATAAATTTGCTTGATTACTTAAAGAAATGAACTTCTTGTGAGATTGCAAGCTGCTATTGGCATAAAACATGTTCTGTTTACATATGCGACCCATGGGACATTGGCTTTAGTGATATTTCTAAATCGCGATCTTATATGGTATACTTCGGGTATGTGTAACGGTGATTTTAAAATTTAGTTTTGACTATTTGGTCATTTTTATTTTATATGGGCTTTGAATTTTATGTTTTAAATTGTATCAACTGATTTCACTTAGAAATTACTATGTTTGGGAATGCATGTTCCGTAATACTAATCAAAATATGACTTGAATAATGTCTTTCTGAGTCACATTGGATCAGTTTTTATCATTAATTACATACCTTTTATATCTTAATTAGAAATAAGCCTCTGGTTTTCATAGCGATTATGGATCCAGTTTTGTCATAAAGTCATTGTTAACGAGTAAGAACTAACTGAACATAAACATTGACATCCAAGTTAAGTTACTGAAATATTTAAAATGTGAAGGGAGTTCACTCAACGTATGTGGCTGTTGAAGAAAAGAATATAAAGCCATGGTTTTATTGGTTATGGAATAAACTTTTAAAGAATCATTCCCTCAATCGCAATCGAGAAAAGGTTTACGTAACTTCCTAGACATAGTTTAAGTTTAAATTTGAATTTGTTGATACAATTAAAAATATGAATATAAATGGCAAAACTATGTTATCACTAGACATAACATCTTTGTTCACTAACATCCCTCTGACTGAAACTATTGATTACATATGTGAACAATTGCTAGAAAAGAAAATAGAGATACCGATCCCAGTAAGTAAAATGAAAGAACTTCTATTGAAATGCACCATGAATATCTACTTTAAGTTTAACAATGAATTTTTCAGACAAGTAGATGGGGTGGCAATGGGATCACCTCTAGGCCCAATCCTTGCTAATATTTTTCTGACCAAACTAGAAAATGGACCGCTTAAAGAAATCCTAAGTAAGCTTGATTATTACTGTCGATACATAAATGACACAATAATCATATGTGACGAAAATATCGACAAACAGGTGATGTTGGACTCTTTCAATAATGTCCACCCAGCCATTAAATTCACCAGCGAAGAGGAGAAAGACAATAGTATAGCTTTTCTGGATGTCCTACTTTCTAGAAGGACAGACGGTTCCATAAAGCGAAATATATTTAGAAAGAGTACATAAACGGGTAAGTATACCCATTTCCAAAGCTTCACACCTCTTCAATATAAAATAAATTTGGTTAAATGTCTCAACCATAGAATCAAGTTATTATGTTCTGAAGACAGTGTGTATGACGAAATAGATATACTAAAGAACACATTACGAAATAATGGTTATCCTGATAATTTCGTTAAAAAATACCTCGTACAAAATACTAAAAAAAGGAGAAATTGTGACACAGTCAGTAAAAAGACCTTATATCTAAGAATAGACTTTAAAGGGGACATAGCGGGTGATATTTTAAGAAGTCGACTCAAAAGATCTGTCGAAAGGACGTTTCACGCCGCCAAGCTACACATCATTTTCTCAACTAAACCAGTACTCACACAACTAATCAAGGATAGGTTACCGAAGATGGGCTCTTCCATGTGCTCCTGTGGAGCTAGTTACATAGGCCGTACTCAGAGGGTTTTATCCTTGCGTGTTCGTGAACATGTACCAGCTTGGTTGGGAAAAGGAGTTACCAAATCAATTAACAGCACCATTCTTTCTCACTTGGTAGATAGTGAACATCATATTAAAATAGAGGAAGCTTTCTCTGTTTTATATCAAGTTCCAAAACATCTACCTCACGGAGCAAGATTACGACTGCTTTACATAGCCGAAGCCATCTGGATCAACTCCAGGAGACCAAATTTATGTATCCAGAAAAAATATATCCAGCCTCTTTGTTTACCTTGGCCTACGACTGGATCACCATATACCTAGACTGAATATTATAAACCTCTTACCCCCTTCCTCTATTTTTATTAATTTAATTTTTTTCCTTATTATCATTATTTTTGGTTATCTCTAATAAGGACTAGACAAGCATGACATTGATCACCACCCATGATCAATCAATTGTTTCCTACTATGCATTTTATTCACACATTAAAATTTTTTCGGCATTTTCATTTTTGCTATAATACTATTCTCTACTTATTGTTACTGAACACTTTACTCCAAATGATCTTGACCTTTATTGAATGACCTTTCTAATTTGCAAATAATACAATTTTGAAGTATATATATATATATATCGTAACAGATGCAAACGTTCACCATTTCTAACACATAACATTGTCAAATTCATTAATACATGCCTTACTTTTGGCCTTTGTAAATTATTATAATTATGGACTTATAACTGTAGAGCCTGATGATGAAGTTATTGAAAACAATTGTTCGCTCAAATATTCTTCTTTTTTGAATAATTTAAATGAGATCCTGAATTTTATTATTTCATCCAGAAATCGTTTATTTTGCAAATACATTTTGCATATACTCAAAGTAATAATGATAATATTAATCGAATTAAATAAGCGTAAGTTATGGAGAGATAGGTGACAACATAATGTTGAATCGAGTAATCTTGATGGATAACAGCTCTAATATTTTCAAGACTTCGCGTCTGACTGCTATTGGTAGATTGCTATTCATGTGGTAGACTGTTAAAAACAAACTATCCAGTTCGGTTGTACAGCCGTTTTTAAAGTAACCGGTGTAAAAATTAAATAAATCGCATCTAAACAGATAATGCACATAATCCTTATCCGAAATTACTATGGACTTTATTAATATTTATTTCCATTCAAGCTGCATAAAACCAAAATAATGGGAAAACCCTTTTTATATTGATTCCAATATTCAGTTTTAGTATTTATCTGATGTATAAGGCTTTCACAAGCAAACTTATGAATACAATGATGACAAATTACATATTTAACACTCAACAACCTTTTTCAAGCTGTCGTGAAGTTTGTAACTGTGTTTTAAACATTTTTTTAAACCCCTAAATATTCAACAAAACCCATATAATTATATGGATTTTTATATTATGTTGTAGTGCCTCAGTCAGTTGGAGTTACAACTTCAGCTGCCGTACGAACTAAAGGAGCTGTAGCTATTTGCTTTATACTTTTTGGTACATCGATTTTATTCCTCTCAGCTCATTTTAAAGGTAAACCATCAAATATTTTTAAGGAATTAAAAAGGATTACTTGTAAAATTTCAGTAACTTTATCTTCATATATCTAGTTAACGAAGTAAATGTACTTCATATCCTGAGGACCAGTTATAACAATTTCTCTATATAGTATTGTGGGGATTGTCTTGTTTGACATCAGTATCATTTACTTTATTTGATAAGTCATATAACAACGCATAGATGAGAAAATATGTAGAGCGAAAGTTATTTTAAATTACTGTTCCTAGTTGAACAAAACAATAAGCACAAGAACCGCGATTGAGAATCTGATAAAATTATTAACATATTATCTGATGAATCCATTGTATACGAGTTTTCTTATACTTGGGTCGGTTTTTGGTCTAAGTGACTAAGTTATCACTTGCCTTGCTAGCTCTGGAATGTTAATTAATGAGCCATTCATGATGACCCGAGATAAAAGCATGAGTGATGTATGTAACTTGTTGATGAAAACACATTGGATCACTAGTTCTTGTTTGTGCAACTGCATCATAATCTATAACTTAAAGTCAGGTAACCCACCATTTTACACATTTTTGATGAGTGAAGAAATAATTTGCCATCATTATATTATCCGTTTCTATTGACTGGAAATGAGTAGCAGATGCCCAATTAAAAATTATCGGATACTAAAACAGGAATGTATGTCTTGTGGTTAAGGCTACTACTACTACTCTGTCATTCGTGTTGATATTTTCATATCGCTGTGCATATGTGGTGTAGAAACTTGAACTGATGAACCTTTGTTCCCAGTTTACATTCTGTATGCTTGATTGTATACACTTTGAGTAATTATCTGATGCTTTTTTGTGACAACCAAACTAACGATGTGAAACCGATATCAGAATACAGAAAGGTGTTCAGGAGGGTTTACCAATTTTAGTGAAAGATTTTACTCAAAAGTGAATAAAAGTTATATATAAAGTAATTACATGTATGTTATTTGATCAAACGATTGTTTTATCGTAGAATGATCATCAAATTCTAGTAAAATTCTCAGTCAGTCACTACAAAATAGATCGCTTGAAGTTCTAGTACACAGCTGAAACATGTGAAGTCAACCAGTTCGACGGTGAACATCAGCAGCCATGGATATTTAGTAGTGAATTCTTCGTACCACGTACCCTATACAAAAAATCCCTGCTTTATGCTTCCACTGCGTCGAACTTTTTTGACGTATTTATCAAACAGTAATACAAGTTGAAGACTACAAACCGAAATTGAACGTTTAATTTCAATGCAACACTACAAAACACTGTTTTCACTACAAGACATAAATGGATTTGTTTTGCCTCTGTGAATTAAGATACAACGTTAATTCATCACTGCATTCTATTTACTATATCGTATAATGCTGTGTGTTGGATTTAGTTTGACGTCTATTATAATTTTTAGGCGGCACAATTCAAAATACCACAGAAATAAAAAAAGATGAAAGTATTTTAAAATAATGTTTTTACGCCTTTGAGTCATGAATCTTCATTTTACATCAGGGTGAAATTCAATAACGTCAGTAAAAATATAGGGAATTTTGCGCTAAACGGTTCCGTTAAAGTACCAAACATTTACCGCAGATTGAGTTGTGATCAAAGTTCGCCAGTATAGTGCTATAACGAATTTCTTGTCGTTCTTAATTCTCTATGAAAACTGAAACATTTCATAACACTGCCTAGTCAAACTTAATTAATAAAAATCTTGTAATTGTTTATACACTTCATCATAAGTATGAAGTTTGATTTAATCAAATTTCAATTAACCGGCATTTATTTTATTTCGATTTTAGCTAACCATACAAATTTTGAACGGAGAGTTCAAGATTATTTACAAGTAGTGAATAATATTAATCTACCAAAAGTTGGTTTTAACAAAGGATATAAATACGAAGGTGTGTTACAATTCGTAGAAAATAATTCCTGATAAATTTGTTTTAAACATTTAAACATTTTTATAAAATATCAGTAGAGTCTGTCTTAATGATGTCGTGAAAGTTCTCATCCATGTTATGACGTCTTTTATCTTCTAAGATGCTGAATTCATCAGTTCGACACACTGAATCAATTTTCAAGACTCAATTTTAATTTTGCGTTATTTTTAAATGTCAAAATTTCCTACTGATCAGATCAAAGGTTGAATATATTCAGGAGAAGCTTATCGGACAGAGTTATTAAGCAAGGTAGCTTTTAGTTCTCCGTATATTTTTCCAACCGAGAAGTGTAAGCATCAGGGCAAATAATCTGATTAATCTTATTAGTTCTCTAGATGTCATCAGTTAGTAATGATATCGCATTTAAATGACACAAAACTACATACAAGTAAACAAACAACGCATAAATCAGATTTTGAAAACTGAAACACAAGCAAATACAAAGAAGTAGAGACTTACTCCTCAATTAATAACCACAAAGGCATTTAGAATCTCATAGTCAATAATATCTTAAGAGGAGCATATAGGGAAATTGATATCTATATTCATAAATGCATAAGCATTATACAAATAATGTCGTTTATAAAAGAAATATTCTTTTAGTCCAGCAGTGTATGATTGTTTTAATGACGAGAATAATATATGCTATTGATTTTCATCAAATATTAAAATAACTTAACTAAAGCACATGATGATCAAGGTCGAGCTAGAATGGATCACTTTTTAGAGAGCTTAACCGATAACTCCGAAACAAGTTACACTTGATGTTGTCAAATCAAATAATTCACTTTATAAAAATGTTTAGAAACCGCATTTGATAGACCTAACAAAATAGAACAAAGTCATTGGTCTAAGTGATCAGAACTCCCAACAATATAGTTTAAGGATAGCTGGGGAATAAACAACTATGCTCTTGAATTTTTATATTATGAATTACTTTGAAATACCAATAAACATATTTCATTTTTACTTTAAACAATAATGATTCTTTGTTAAAAACGTTTATAGAATCCAACCCATTGGATCGGTTCGATGTTGTCTTCTGGGCAGGAGATTTAAATTTTCGAATACAACGACCAAGACATATTGTCGAAAACATAATTAAAGGAAAATATAAGCATAGAACATTTGAAGAACTTTTGTCAGTTGATGAATTACTCAATGCACAGTCACAAGGTAAACACTGAATATTTTCAAAAACACTTATTACACAGTAAGCATGTGATCTGCTTAAGAAAAAGACATAGTTATGGATCACGTATCTTAGTTACATGACCCTATTCATTAATCCTCAATAGGATTAGAGTAGTATGCATCGTTATATTCCACAAAATATGCGTATATCATAACTTTATAAACAAATATGTGGGCTTTGTTGATATATCTGTTTATTTATATCTTGAAGCACATATTCAGTTATATACTGTAGCGTTACACAACTCGAAATGTATACGGAATATAAGTTATCGAATTTAAAATAGACCAGTTACGTTTCCATCGATTCCAAAATACTTGAGAAACACTCCTGACAGCCGTAATCATATACTTATAGTGTTTTGAACGCAGTAACATGGAAGAGTACTTGAAATGACAGAAATCCATCTAACGTCACTTCGCGACTAAAGGTTTTCTTAAAGCTGAACAAATCTTTAAAGACTGATTCATCAATTTGCAGCCAAACGGGTTTATTAATTTATTCCCTGAGGTTACTATGACAGCCTTTAACCTGTAAAGTTCGCCAAGCTGAATAGAAGAGAAATAACCACTAGTGATACTAGATGATGACAACTGACTGCTTAAAAATTATGAATTACCGATTTCTTACCTAATCGCTAAATGATATCTTGACGATTGAGAGATACTAAGTATTTTTCAGGTTTAATCTCATGTAGAGCCGTTATTGGTAACTGTCAATTAGCAAAAAACTGTTCTTTAACAAGCTAACCTTAAGTAGTTTCCCATATATTGTGTATTTATCAATAAAACTAATTTTTCCCTAATTCGAATGGATAAATTTTCTGTTCTTCTTGGTGATCAATCCAAATAATTGTTTTGTTTCATATTGGTTTATTCTACACTCCTACTAATCTTAAAAACCTATAGGTCAACCAATATAAATAATACAAATGGAATATCTGAATATTATAAAACTGAAAGATTCTACAGAAAACTTACTGACAGTTAAGATGTTTACACTTGATTTAAATAAATTATCAAACGATAGACTGAGCCCTATGAATCTTTAACGGAACTAAATTCCAATTGAGTCTTAAGAGCAGATCTGTATAATTTTAGTCTGAAAACAAATGTTAGCTAAATTAATAAATTCCAACTTAACAAGTGTATATACCTCAAGGTGATTGTAATAATAATAATCTCGTTCTAAACCTTATCTTATATCTTCCAGAGAAATGGACGTACGACTTCAAGATTGTAAAAAACACTAGTATGTTTATTTTCAGTAAATTATCCTGGTTTATAGGATAAATGAAAATTCAGTTTCAAATACGTGTTTTGTTTCTTAAAAGGTATCATCTTTCAGAATTTTGACGAAGGTCGTATTCGCTTCGCTCCAACTTACAAATTTGATCTCAATTCAGATGCTTACGACTCATCAGAAAAACAACGCGTTCCATCATATACAGTAAGTAATGGGGATTTCTTTTCATTATCGTTATATTCGGGCTGAATAAATCAGTAATAATTTTATTTAAAATCAAATATCGAGTTTACCATACTTAAAATCAGTACTACTGAAGGAAACAAGCAATATAAAAAGTGGTTAAAATAATAATAACAATCATAGTGTGACCACAAGCCACTGAGGAGAGGAATGTTTATTTAGGTAAATTACAGGATGTTTATGCAATATATACACTTCGTCTTTGAACATTCATTTGCATCTTATATGTTCTGCAATCCAAGTCACTTCTAGACTGTTTTCTTACACTTCTGTTCTCCGAAGTATTCTGCATATGCCGTGCTTTTATACCTCCTGGAGCTCTTATCTTCGGCCGTCGACGATAGCAACTTCCGAGCGACGTCCCGATACATACTGGTTATAAGCAATCTTCTAAGTAGCTTTCACCACAATAGTAAAACACCAAACACGAGAACCTTAGTTCACGAATCTAAAAGTCTGGCGATTAACAATGTGGATTGCCAGGTTCATGACTGAAACGAATACATAGGCTAAGTTCACCTGTGTTTGTGAGATTATTTCAGTCGTTCATTCCCACCAACCACGGACTACGGTTGCCTTAACAACAAGAGTTAAGTTCATATCTCATTTCGCAGCTTAGAGTAAAGGTCAAAAATGTCACAGCTTAAGCCCATATCTTTGTCTGGTTACCCTCAATATTTATATAAATTACGCCCGTTTACATGGTGGATTAATGGAAGAAATTGTTCGCTAGTGTTAAAATATTTCCTAAGCAACTTAAATAATTAGTATTAATCAAGCAGTTACAGTATGGCAAATCAGAAAGCATTTACCATCTCATGCTGTTCGTTGTTTCGAAATAAATTGCACATTTAGATTTAAAGTTATGTCACTGACATCAGACGGGAAAAGAACTTGATCGGGCAAGTTAAGTGTGGTTGTAAATGTACATCACTCCAAGTTTTTATTCGATTCAATATGACTAAGTAAGACTGAATAGTTTAGAACTACGATAATGAAATAATAGTATTAGTATTAATCAATTTTCAGTGATTCTTCCGTTTAATTCAGATCATGACGAAAAGTATATGTAAATTTATTATCGTAGCATTTTTAAACTTTACTATAATTTGATAATACTTTGCTGATCTAAAAACCTTACTATATATGTGATAATAAACTCACTGTTTATTCATTATAAATGTTTGACAAAATTATTTCGCTGTACCATTTTCTTGTTTATTTCCGGTCATTACGTCTTCTTACATTTTCTCTTGTGTTTATTCAACATATAGGACAGAATATTGTTCATGTCAAAAAAGAAAGACAACTTGATCTGCTTAGATTACAACAGTATTAATACAATCCGTTCATCGGATCACAGACCTGTGTTCGCATTATTCAGTTTAGTTTTAAGACCTGGATCTGATAAGTAAGTTTTCGAGGAAAAAGTTGTAACTAGATAACAACCTATGTATCAACTTTTACCCGAGCTATTAAAGTTTGATTTTACAGTTCGTATCGGTATCAATAAGCATAAATGTACAAAGACGTTAAATTCATGACTTTCGAATAAACATAGAAAATTCCAATAAAGTTCTCATCGGAGACAGAATTCTGAATAAATATAATGAAGTGTACTGTGATAGGCTATACATATACAGATATGTAGTTGAATGTCACTACATTAATCTCTCACTTACCATCTACGTTATTCACAGTTCCAATACACAAAGTAATATCTTCTCCTTAACTAGAAGACAATAATTGAAATTATACGGCGCTAGAAGAAAATATCTGACCAATCATTTTTACTCGAAACCTAAATGATTCATATAATTTTAAGACACGTTTTTAAAATACGTCTGAGTATTATCCCTTTTTAGTGATGGATTTATCAACAAAAACTATAGACAACTTAACTTCAGCCATGGTTGACTTAGCTGTACAAAACTGGAAACTCCTATCGTTCGGGAACTCCGGCTATGAGATGTGGCGTTTTCACTAAAGTAACTTAAAAGACAGACACCAACTAGATAAATAAGGCTAACAGCTTAAAATAGCTCATATTAGTTTACGGAGTTAATTTTAGTAGTAAAACTGTGTATGTAATCAAAGACTAGGTTTCTGGAGATCTAAGAGCTGATTTTCGACCTGGCACTCTGTTGTTAAAAATACACGCGGAAAATATACACAATTTAAATTGTTCGTTTTATACTCCAGATGCTTGCCATATAACCGAAATCGGTAGTTCTCGAAATAGCCTTTGCTTTTCCCTCATTGCATATTGCTTTTTTATGGACAGTAATATTTGTGTTTCAAAAGACCAGTCTTCCTCTTTGTATCGTAAACGTATTGCCAGTGCCTGACTTGTTTTTGTTCAATATATTTTTACTTCTTGATAGACTGATACAAATTTAATAATTAGCTTGATATTCAGCCTATGAAATGCGGAATACATCAAAAAAATATTTACGACCCAATGATTATAGGATATTACTTGACCACGCGACAACTACTCACAGCCGACAATCCCCAACAATGACAATTCATTATCAATTATCGGACGGACGATTGTATTGTACTGAATGAAACAATAATTAAACCGCATTGTTATGATGGGTGATTGAACCTAAAATTGAAGGCCACAAATCCCTCACTTAGTTTACGAGAAACGGAAAGTACAAAGAGACACTTCCCTAATAAACATATACTCACAACATAATCCGATTCGTTTTAAACTATAAGCAGTGTATATAATACATATTATTCCCGATTTTTGATCAAATGTTAGCAAGTTTTTTATAAATTACTCTTGGTTGTTCTCTAACAGAATCATTAACCGATAAACTTTTTTTCACAGCATTGCGTTAGCAGCTGGTGCATTTAATAGAGAAATATACATAGCAGGTATGTTGAAGAAAGTTTAAATAAATTTAAGTATAAAATCAAATTTTGTATGTGACAATGAATCGTATGGACCCAATCTACTGACTAACCTCTTGTTGCTATGTCACACCTGGAACTCTTACCATGCTACTGAATAAGTTGAATTTTTGTAGATGCAAGTGACTTTACGATGCATTTAAAACCAATCTTTTGCCATCAAAGCATATATGCTCGCACTATTGTTTGACATTCGTGAAAGAGAGATTATCTGTTAGTAAAACTGCTAATTTCAGTTTCAAACAACGCCTAAACTTGGCTGACTGTTAAGCATGGTTAACTGTCTCTTTTGGACTTATTGAAAATGGATATCAATCCCTTTTCCACTTCTTTCGAAGTGATACGATAATATTACTTCAAATCTAGACAAAATGTGCAGATTTTTTTCATACTCTTACCATTTTCCGAAACTTAGACACTTTTTTCAGCTTGCACTAATTTTTTCGCCGAATTTCTTTCTGTTGTGACGAACACCTGCCAATTCGAACCAACTGTCGAATAAACACAGCGCCCGTGTACTAGAAATAATATCGCGTAGTGGTTTGATGGTTACAAAGTTCATGTTTCAACCACAAAGTTGCAAGCTTGTATGCCACTACAAATACAACTGGCTCTCATTAACGCTCGCAAATTCAGTATGAATTGAAGCCTAGAACCGAAACATGTATTTGGTAGATGAGTCACATTACTACGGATAAGAAATAGAATTGGTGCTTCAATGGACAACTATATATATCTTTCTTTAGTCTCAGTAACATCCTGCATTATCAGTGATCAAGACAAGAACGATAGAGACTAAGGAATAATAAAATGTACAACAATAAAGTCGATAATAAACTGGAAAATAAGGAAATTAAATTTATACTACTCGTATATCTCAGTAGTTAGCCACTTGCATCACAACTCATATCTTTACCTTAGTTGACAAGTCTGTGAGAAATATAGTAATAAGTATTAAAAATATTTTACTGACGAATTTCATGATAATAACCTAATACTGAATGCAAAACTCTTACTTTTATTATATGGATGACGTCCACAAAAATCTCAGTTACGTCTTATAACTGATTATTTGAACTAAACAAAGTAATACAGTGCAATATATATTGCCGAAAATGAGATTATTTCCAGAATGGTAAACGCCCAATTAAGTTTTGTCCCTAGTAAAAAAAAGTCATATAAAAATTGAACATACTAGCCCTTATTTTCGGATATATAATTTGATTAGGGTGTAACTATATTAACAGTAGTCAGAGAATAATTCCTTGATACTATTTACCTGTTTCAATTCATCATATATATTCGAATTGTGGATTTGTTTTACTAGGCAATCAACGTCGTGCTCTACGTTTAGATAAACTAAAAGCAAGAAAAAGTACAATTCATGCTAGAGTTTGTACTATTCAGTGAGATTTTCATAACCACAAAAATGGATAAGGATGCAAATAAATTACAACATTTGAAACAATTATTTCATGTACAACCTACCAATTTTCTATTCAAATAAATTATTTTTTAAAGCTTAGTTTTTTTAGTCATTTCAATTCTCGTATAGGAAGATATGAAACTATAACTAGCCTTGGATAGGGTTCTAGATGATAAATTCAGTCTTTCAGCATACAAACAGTGAAGAATATTGACATTTAGTTAATTATGTGACTAAAAGATGACTAAATAGTATAGGCGAAAAACTAATCGAAATTACGTCGTTGTGTCAACGCGTTTCATGACACTCTTACCTTCGTACTTACTTACCTACGCCTGTTACTCCCAATGGAGCATAGGCCGCTGACCAGCATTCTCCAACCCACTCTGTCCTGGGCCTTCTTTTCTAGTTCCATCCAATTCTTGTTCATTTTTCTCATGTCTATTTCCATTTCCCGGCGTAATGTGTTCTTTGGTCTTCCGCTTCACCCCCATTGACCTTGAGGATTCCATGTGAGGGTTTGCATTGTGACACAGTTGGGTGCTTTCCTCAATGTGTGTCCTATCCACTTCCAGTGCTTCTTCCCGATTTCTTCGTCCGCTGGAATCTGGTTTGCTCTCTCCCACAGTACGTTGTTGCTAATTGTGTCCGGCCAACGGATCCGAAGTATTTTGCGTAGACAACTGTTAATAAACACCTGTATTTTCTGGATAATGGCTTTCGTTGTTCTCCAGGTTTCTGCCCCATACAGTAGAACTGCCTTGACATTTGTATTGAAAATCCTGACCTTTGTGTTGGTTGACAGTTGTTTTGAGTTCCAGATGTTCTTCAGTTGTAGATATGATGCTCTTTCTTTGCCGATCCGCGCCTTCACATCTGCATCAGATCCACCATGTTCATCAATGATGTTGCCCAAATATGTAAAGGTCTTCACATCTTCCAAATCGTCTCCGTCAATTTTGATTGGATTGGTGCACGCTGTGTTGTCTCGGAGAATCTTGCTTTTCCCTATGTGTATATTGTGATACCTACTGCTGCTGAGGCTACTGCTACACTATTCGTCTTCTGCATTTGTTGTTGCGTTTGGGATAGAAGGGCCAGATCGTCTGCGAAGTCTAGATCATCCAACTGCATCTTAGATGTCCACTATATCCCCTGCTTCCCTTCAGATGTTGATGTCTTCATGATCCAGTCGATCACCAGGAGAAAAAGAACTCTTACCTTCAACTTGTATAAAACATGAAATATATTTAACACCTAAGTAGATGACGAAATATAAGAGATAAACGGCCCTGGCTTGTGCGATAAGTGTAAATCTAGGCGACGCATAACTATACCCTAAAGAGAACGCAAACTATGGATAATCGGCGTGGTGATAAGACTAATTTTAAAACTCTGTGATTAGGATTCAGTTTCCCAGACTAAGCTTACTAAGGAATGGATTGTCTCTTGCTTATCTTACATTTTGAACCAGGATTTATGTGAACAGTAAATCCAGACCTACATTATTTTAAACATCCTAAGTAACTTACATTTAGTTTCATAAATGTTGTGTATATTAAGTGGATCAAGGACTTGTTAGTCTGAACTTCATAGAACTTTAACCGTTTCTGGATCGGTCCTAAGTGTCCTTTCTCATCAAGTCTAGGCTCCGAAGAAACTACATTGCCTACCGATAACAAGGATGTGTATGAAACTACTGGTCATCCTGAATTATTGGATTGTTGTGATGCATAAGTGCTTCAGTGATTAGCAGACTCGACATGCTGAACCGATTGATATAAGCAAATGGTCTATACCTGTTACCGAGACTCAGAGATGTGGGATTGTTGTTAGTAGTTATCTCATAATTAGACTAGAACACAAACTGAATGGTGTGATAGCTTATTACCTGTTGGCTTACAGTATGTAGGACTAAGGCCCTAAATGTCACTGTAAATAATTCAAGATCTAAGCCTGGTTGATCCCGTTTCCATTCGTTGTCTTCTGCATGGACAGTAAGATAAATAATAAAATTGGTCAGGTTTAAAGCAGAGTACATCATTTAAAATTGTAACATGTGAACTAAGGATTGTTCGTCATATAAAATAAAATCGTTAATGTTTGGGTGACTAATATGAAGTATTAACTTGAATAAACTTGCACGTTAAATGAAACTATGTGATAAAAGATCAGAATAAATATGGTCAGCATGAGGTGAGAGAATAGTGTAATTACAAATCAGAAATTAATATATAGAATAACAAACATTAACGATTTTATTTTATCTGACAAACCATCCTTGATTCACATGTTACAATTTTGAATGATGCACTCTGCCTTAAACCTGGCCAACTTTATGAATTGTTAATTTGGATATACAATTGTAGAACCTGATGACAAATTATTGAAAATGTTTTTCATTCATATAACTGTTTTAATATAATGGGAATTTTTCAGCACGATAAACCTCAACAAAGTTCTCGGGTATTGTTGTTCAGACAGTTTTCACTTTTATACGATTCTATATTTCTCATATCACCGACGTTTCTCAAGTGATGTACTAGAATTTATCTTTGATGCTTTTTATGATACTAAATTGAAATGTATTTGGTATCTGATTTAAATGTAGTGACTTATAACACGTTTCTGAATAAATCATTCGTAGTCAACACCTTTTTAAACCATAAATCTGTACAAACTGAACACCAGCCATCGACAAATCAAACTCTTTCCATCGAGTCAGAATGCTTAAATGTCGAGAAACTATGACTAAACTCTTAATACACAATCAAAGTAGATACACACCAACGGTGTACCAGTTTTCTTTATTTCGTGATTCAACAGTTATAATAGACGCCTGTAAACGTTTGGTTGGTGCTCTACATATAGAAAGAAGATTAAGACAAATTTATTTCCAGAGCCCAAATAATTAGGCTTACTATGCATGTATTCGAAATGAAACGAACAGGAAAATGTAAGCAGTAACCTTGATCAGATGAATGCACAATGGGCAGAACAGAAGTTCCTCACTCACTGTGTCGCTTACAGATAGTATGTGGTCTGTTTGATATTGGTCAGCAAATCGTCCTAAATAGCTGCATAACATATTTCTATGAAGTCCCCTTTATTTATTTATTTATTTGAACACATATATATTGGTACAGGGGTGCGCCAAACATATATGCGCCACACAATTTCAGTTCATTAATTGAAGTCCCCTAATCCTTATTTTTCCCATAATTATGGACAAATATAGGACCAAGAATCAAATCAATCGGAGATACAATCAAAACAAGGAAGCAAACAATGAAAGGCTAAAATTCGACAATAATCAATCAAGATCGAGATCTACAGGATAAACTGGGAGTCATATGTGGAGAAAATCGAACACTTCACTTCTACTCGAAGTCTATGCTGACGATGTCATTCAGAACGACGAAAGCTCCGTGACCAAGTCATACAACTCAGAGAACAAAACTTCACCAAAAACCAATACACACTCGTGCCAGGTCTTATGCGCAACATGGTCGTTAAATACGTGACTATCTTACCCCAACTAAACCATACGCTAAGAGAAGTCCCAAGTCACTGATTAGTTAGTTATGTATTTCATAATCATTACGTTTCTATCCAATAATAAGCAAAGAATTTGAACTTTGAAGCAGCTCGAATTTACATGGAGAGGGTATCGAAACTGAAATCTAATGACACATCAAATATAGATAGTCTATACGTTGGCATAAAAACTAAAGGGAACAAAATATAAGAGGGTACTAGAATAATATAGAAAAATAGAGTCTAAACGATCAAATATCAGGAAAAAGTCGATAAGCGTTCTTCAATGTATGGCAACAGTTTTTCTGGAGAACCACGAGTAAACCCAACAAAGCCAGCTTGCTCTGGTGGAATTTCAGGACCCAATAACCTCTTAATTTCAGCCAACGGCATATCCTAAACACCGGGAAACAAAATTATGATGAAAAATTTTCTGGATGGACATTCAAAGACTTACCTTATTGCATAAAAACTGAGAAGAATAAGTGGACTCATCACCTGTCCATATCAAATGGTTAAGTGATGCAGGAGTACAAACGAGAGCATGTTTTCCTTGCAAGAGAGCAAGTGCAAGCTCCTCCTGATGATTATCCATCAACGTTTCATTTACAACGACGATTAGTCGGCGACTTCCAAATGGAGTAAGAGCCTGGATACAAGTGCCTGCACCGCCATGACTAATAACTAATGATGCACTTTTAAACTCATCAACAAGGGAATCTTTGTATCGAAAGGATTTCATGCGTAAGAAGGGAGTTGTAGACAAATGTTCAGTATTTTCGGCACAAATGTCTTCCGGAATACGGGGTGTGATAGATCCACTTCCATATTGTATGATCAGATCTTTATATCCCAATCTTGAAAGACCTTCATGGAATTCGACTTTATTGACCTCATTAATCAGCCCATCAAATGAAGTCGTGCCAACAGTAACGAATACAACGGCCATGTCTTATGATCAACAAATGACACTCATAAAATAAGCAAATATCTGACACCCGAAAGTCCTACTTGGAAGTACTATCTTTAAGACCAGACAACCTAATCTTTTTATCTACCTAAAACAAGATAAAATACAGTGCACAAACATACTGGTTGAAGACAGCAACGGTAAAAAGCGTACCTGAGTGATGCACACTCACGAGGAAAGTTGTCGCGTTCTAAACACTCTCGGGGAGTGAGTTTTTTCTGAAACGTGCTATGACTTTAACAGGACATACGTCTTGACAACAAGAGCTACGTAGTAAACAGAATAGTAAATCCGCCTTCTGTTCCTCACAAGGTCCTTTTTCTTTCATTCACGCAAGCTGGTTGGTAAAGCCTTGTATCCGACTATTCTGAAATACAAAAAGGGATGTTTACTCAGACGAATAATTATACCGATAAGTATAATGAGTTTCATTGCACTTCAGTGCGTTACCAAGTCAAAAATGATTATTAGTAAAATACGAAATTCATATAAATATTATGGGGTTGTCCCTCAATAGTTAAATGCTTTGTTTATACACCGCATTGCAAAGCAGCCTCTGTCAAAGGTTTTCGTGCGTTATGGTCACTTCGCCGAGCGTTCAAACCTTTTGACGAGGAAACGTTTCGAATTTTATATCCCATATATGTAAGACCACATTTGGAGCACTGTATCCAAGCAGCTAGCCCGTGTCTGGTAAAGGATACTAACTCCCTTGAGCGTGTCCTGCGTGTGGGAACGAAATTACTGAAGGGTCTTTCTAGACTCCCTTACGATGAGCGTTTAAAACGCTTATATCTTTTCCCCTTGTCGTATCGTAGGACACGAGGTGACCTCACACTGGCATTTCGTATCTTTAATTATGATTTGAGTGTTAATATGTCTTATCTTTTTGCTACCCCCAGCACTAATAATCTCCGAGGTCATAGCAAGAAGGTTCATAAACCACGATCTAATAAACTTAAAGTGGGGTCCCGTTTTTCTCATCGAGTAGTCAATCATCGGAACGCCTTACCCGAACAAGTGGTATCAGACCCATCAGTGAATACTTTCAAGGAGAAACTGGACTTTCACTGGAAAGCAATGTGTCAGGATTAATACAGGTTTACCAACCTACTATCCTTATTACTGAAGACTGAAGACGAGGCGTAAACGCGACTAGACACCATGAGAGAACTAAGGGCTATGATGGGTACCAGTACTATTGTCCGGTAGTATAAGTACTGAATTTGTTACAACTTATTAACATATTTCAACTCAATTTGTATTTCAGTCTGGGAGCCCAATCAACCAAAAAGGGGAAAATGCATTGGAAAATAATGGGGAAACGCGCCAAAATATCTGCGTTTTCGCCTGTCCAGGGGAAATGATGGGGTTTTTTCCCCTTTTTGTCGGTGTTTCAAATTTCGCAGAATTGTCTACTTTTCGCGTAAATATACGCCAAATCGTCTACTTTTGTTCCAACTTGAACTAGTGCAAGTAACAATGTCGAAACTTCCAGATACTACACAACGCCTCGTCTAAAATAACATACTGAGACGAGTAACCATACCAAACATAAATCCTACATCAATCAATTCATGTTTAACCACTACACAATGATTTTCTCACACGAATAATGAAAAGGCCTCTTATCTTCACACTGCACATCGCGGTGTGAAATCAGCAGGTCTCTAGAAAGACTTTAGTGCTTGCACAAATTATATAACATTTGAATCCAATATCACTTTAAGTCCATTGTTCCTCTTCAGCGTAAATTACCATTCACACATCCTTACTTTTGAAATCAACAACCTGTTCAAGGTCAAATGATGTAAATGGATTGACTAAAATGGTTGAAATGGTAGTACTGTACGAAATAATAAACTCTGGTTTATTACATTTCGTGTAACACAACAACAAGAACGATGCTTTCATGTAGGAAACTGAGCGAATAAAATGCTCGTAAATAAAGTAAATATTAGTTGGTAAGTATGAGATCCCATTTCAAGTCTTCAAATACTGTCATGTTTCTTTGTGAATTTCAAGCGGTAAATAAATCCACAAAACAAATAGTTCTATGAGCCTTTGACTCTTGATGCTAACCTCATTAGTTTTGATGGACACATCTGTACCAGATCATGAACGAGTACGCAGTGCTTCAAATCTCCTACAACACTTAGATAGCTTAGATCAAACGCTTCCCAATATATTTAGAGCCTATCAAATACATATTTGAACCTCTTCATTTTCGTTTTCTGATTTGGCACACTCCGAGGATAAAAGTGGTAAACGTAAGTGCGTTTTCAAACTCCGAATACTTGTGACAATTTAAGTGGTGGGTCCGGCGTGATCTGGTACACTAGTTCATAAAGTGTTAGTTCGTTTCTTGTTGGAACATAATATATCATTTTTCAGTATATATATTTCTACATATCGTGATGTCATTTTCATATTCTCGGAGAGTTTTTTTCCCCTATTGGTATATTTTATCTTCACCATGACTGTACAGACGCCGAAGTTACTTAAATTGAAACATCTTACACCTCCAACCATTCAGTCAACGCGATTTCGACCCGAAAATATGGAAGCCTGGTTCTGCTACTCAGAAGCTGACTTTCATGAGAACGGCATGACAAGCCCAGGTGCACAATCCCTCACTGCAGTGAAGACACTACCGCACGATTTTGACAGGTACGTCACACTTATTATGTTTACTAGTGATGTCTCGGGATCATACGAAACTTCAAAGGAAGCTTTTCTTAAGCTTGAAGATCTAATAGGTCGACCAAGGTCAGGTCAAATGTTCTATAACATCGAGATGCGACATGGCTCAGCAGCAGACATGTCGTCACGAATGAGAGAGGTTATTTGGTTGACGGACCCTGGACGATGTCCTGTTCAAACAGCTCTTTTTATCTAAGCTTCCTTAACAAGTGAAGGCAGCACTTGTCTCGCCTCAAAACAACGCTGTAGATGAGCTGGTTTCATCCGCAACTCGAATCCTGGAGATCACCAGAACTTCTAACGCCGGGGTTTTTTCAGTCAAAGAAAAACATCAAACGGCACGAAATGGCGTTACAGAACTCATTCATACTCTGAAACGTTGCCTTAGTATTCGTCTTAACCGCAGACGATCCCAAACTCCTCGAGGAAGCTCTTCATGGAAACAATATATCTCTAGATCACGAGAGACAGACGACTCTGATTGGTTCTGGCATCATAAACATTACGGAAAACCTCGGAGTTGCAGGAAACCCTGATATTTTCCGAACTTCAAGCCTACCGACATGAAAAACGTTTCTGGAATCTTCCCAGCTGGCACACGTTAACGGCAATCGTAATCGGCGAACATAGCCATCTGTTATACATCAGTGATCTGACGACGAAAGTTCGATATGTCGTCGGCAATGGTGCCGAAGTAAACGTTCTTCCTTCAAATTCAAAAGACCGAATGCACGGACGGGTTTTCAACTTAAAAATGGGAAACCAATAGCCAAATACGGCAAGCTATACGTGTATCATGACGTGGGTTCACGCAAACCCATTCACTGGATTTTTGTTGTTGCAGATATTTCTATGCCAATCACCGGTTTAGACCTGTTGCAGCATCATAGTCTACTCAACGACAAGAGCAAACGGTGATGGTTGTTTTATAATCTCGTTTTCCGGATGTATTTTACTGCCAGTCACTGTTAAGCACATGCTCAATGCATACTATCAACAGATACACGATAAGTACCCTGAACTATACCAAATGCACCCCAAACTACCGTGTGAAACCAGCAATGTTACCCATCACAAAATGACTACAGGATCATCTGTATTTTCGAAAGCTCACCGACTTAGTCTCGAAAAGCCAGGATTAGACAAAACCAAATTCGAACGCATGATGGATTTAGGAATTATCCAGACATCAAAAAGCCTGTGGTAATAGCACTTATATATGTCTCCTATAAGAACAGCAATAATTGGCGTCCAACTGGTGATTATCGGCGACTGAATGCGGATACAGCTACCGATCGTAACCCTTTACTGCACACTCACAATTTGACAGCTATTGTGAAAGGTACAATTGATTTTTCGAAGATCGATTTTGCTGAAGCGGATAGACGAATTCCCATAGCTACTACCGACATTGCTAAAATCGCTATCACATGTACCCTTTCGGGTTCTGTAAACTGTTCCTCATGTCTTTCGTTTAAAGAAATGTTGCACAACCTTTTCAGAGATTCATCGATGACGTTCCTCGAGGTCTCAACTTCGTACACGTATATGTAAATGATTGCATGATACCAACATCTGGACCTTGTTTCTGAAACGTCGAGAAACATGACATTGCTGTTAACAATCTGAAATGTCAAATCGAACCTGACTCCTCATATTTTCTCGGGTACACTATTAGTGCTCAAGGCATCCGCCCGTTGGAAAGCAAAGTAGTGATCATTCTGAATTACCCCGGACAAACCACAATCAAGCAACTACGAACGTTTAACGGCCTAGTAAATTTCTATGGATGGTTTATAACGAGTTGCGCTTCCCTAACTAGACTCTTAACAGAGAAAAATTGCGGAAATACGATACTCATTGCGAAAAAAGCACTCTCTACATTCAAGTAAATTATCAGAAAAGCAAACTACACTAGCTCACCACAACATTAAAGTGCCTATTTGTATCGCAGAGGACGCATCCGACTCGGCAATTGGAGGAGCCTTACGACAGTCAGTTAACCACACCTGACAACCTTTGGCACTCTTCTCGAAACGGTTGCTCGACACCGAATCGAGATATATAAATTCTGGCAGGAACCTATTAGTCATATATTGTGCTGTATGGCACTTTCGATAATCGGTAGAAAGCCGAGAATTCACTCTGTTTTCCGAAACTAACCTCTCACCTCTGTTAGCTCATCTTCAAATAAGTACTCTCCTCGAGATTCTCAATAAACGGACTAAATTTTGCATTTTATTTCAAATATAGAACACATTTCTGTGGCCATATAT